CCCCCACGATATGGTTACACAGCAACGATTATTTGCTTAAACTGATGTTGGATTACAACTATGCAAGTGAACTTCTATAAATATATATATTGGAGCATGTTTTATAACTAAACAGTAGGAATAAATAAATAAATAATTTCATCGATAGATAGATACTGAAATAAAAGTGTGACAAGTAGCAGAAAGCTGTTAATAAAACATGAAAGAGAACTTAAGGTTTTTGACCCAAATTTTTCTTTTACTTTGATCTCAAGTTGACCAAGGGACTGTAGACCTAATTTGAAGTAGAAATGTAGATTCGCAGGTCTGAGTACACTGAGAAATCTTAAAATTTTTGACAATATCCTTCTTTGACTTTTAAAGAAAATCCATAATTCTTAAAAATGTATTTTCAGCTCTAGGATATTTAATTCACCCATAACCAGTAAAGTAAAGATTTTAAGGGTATCATTTTGAATCGGTCTTTCCGCTCTGTAAACACTAAACAATAAACAGAGACTCACTTGAAACTAATTCAACAGTCCCTTAAACAATAAAAACAGTTATGTTCATTCTAAAAACTAGAATAAAATTGTTGTTAAATGTGTTGAACAGTCGTTAACAAAATAGTAAAAAAATTTGGCCAAAAAGGTTTAAAAGAAGAAAAATGTATGTTTATTAAACTTAATTCTGTTTTGATCAGTTGTAAATCGGGCATTGCCCTCTTTGCATGGAGGGTCACTTGAAATTATGCTCACAGTCCTGAGTCCCTTAGAGCTAAATGATGTAAGCCCTGATTTACGTAATGGAAACAGTCTTACGAGGTTCAAACCCTTGTATAGAAACAGTTAAGTATTCAGGTATCAGCTGATCTCTTAGAAAAAGTATGTGGGTCAGAATACTTTTTGCTTTATTCTCTTCACAGAGTCTCAACAAAAACACGACTGGGGTGGGGGGAGGGGGTAATAAACATTGGGGTTTAAGGGCAAAAGAAATGGACTATAAGAAGCGAGGCTTTAGGTTGCGATAAAAACGTATTTTAAATATTTACGCTAACATATTATTCCTGCGAAATCGAATAATGCAAATCTTATAACCCCAAATTAAATATTAAAATTCATAATTGCTGATCAAGATTTAGTCAAAATTTCATAAGATACGCCCCCCCCCCCCAAACATGTTGGAAAATGTTGATCACTATAGCGTATTCAAGTGACCCTCCATGCAAAGCAGGCAATGTCCGATTCATAACGATACCCTTAAAACCTTTGTCTGATAAAGTATGCATTAATGACATGAGTATTTCAACTACAGAGCAACTTTTAAAACATATTTGAATTAAACACTTTTTACTCTAGAAAAAAACCCCAACAATTTATCAGAAAAAATGTTTTAGGCCTTGAGGGTGACGTTGTTAATCGGGCATTGCCAACTTTGAGGGTCCACTTGAAATAACGCGTACAGTCCCTTTCATGAAAAAAGTCTATATTTTTTATTAATTCCCATGAACGGGGGGGGGGGGCGAACATTTCAGACAACAATACTTGAAGTTGAGAGAAGATCACCAATGAAGGTTTTTGTACAAGATAAAGGATGAAGAACTGGGGTTAGAAATTATGAATAAGATCATGAGAAAATGAGATGGATCAAGATGTCGAAAATGCATCTAAATTAAAAATAATAAGTGAGAAGGATTACGGTGTCATAACGGATCTAACTCATACGAGAGGGATCTGAGTGTCAAAGTGTCGAAAATGAATTTAAATCATAAATGAGAGGGATTAAGGTGTCAAAAACGGATCTAACATATCAATGAGAGGTGATCAAGGTGTCTAAAATGGATTAAATCATAAATGAGAGGGATAAAGGTGTCAAACACGGATCTAACACCTCAAGAGAGGGATCAATGCGTCTAAAATGGATCTAAATTATATGAAAGGAATCAAGGTTTCTAAAATAGATTTAAATCTTAAAAGAGAGGGATTAAGGTGTCAAAAACGGATCTAACACATCAATGAGAGGGATCAAAGTGTCGAAAAAGGATTTAAATCATATGACAGGGATCAAAGTGTCGAATATGGATTTAAATCATAAATAAGATGAATCAAATGGTTAAAAAGATATTTAGAGTAGGAACAAAGCAAAATGAGGAAACTTGACAATCAAAATATTTCAGAAAAGATTTTAAAGATTTTAAGAGCAATCGAAGATTTTCATCTTTAAGCGAGGATTCATTTATTATTAATTTAAAAATACTCATCCTTCTTCGAAAGTCTCACCTTGAAGCATAGACCTAAAAAAAAATTAGTTTTAATTAATATTTCAGTGTATTACAGTAAATTGCATGGTTTATATCAAACATAGTTCCTTCCTCTCCCTCTAAATAATGCATTGCAATGAGCAAAGATTTCATATTTTTTCTCAAATATATTAGGAATGATAATGGAAAGCTTTAATTGTAAAATGTTATTTTGGGTAAAAATATCGATAAGTTGATGTTTAATTTGCTTTCCCATATTTTAGTGAATATCCCTTATACCAATAGAAGCAAGATTACAAAACAGAAAAATTTCCCAAATCCATATCTTTCTATTTTATATAGCGCAATAAAAATAAAAGATAAGGCCGACAACACTTAAGTAACAAAAGTTTACTTTTGATACTTAGCTAATGTAAACTTTGAGCAATAAATATAAAAAATTCAGTTTGAACAATCTCATTTCTAAACAGGAATTGAGGTAAGACTATTAAAATGATTAAATTTTTATCATTCGTCTTCTGACGGACGTTGAACCCACTTCCATTTGGACAGATTCAGAATTCAGATCTGTTTGCATTTGTACGGATCCAAATACCGGATCCTTTCAAATGGACGGATCAATTTATCACATGAGGATCGTATCCATTTGCATAAAGTCAGCTCCAGGATCCGGATCATCTTATATTAGGATAGATCCAAGATCCGGATCGACTTACGTCAGGACGGATCCTGAACCCGGGTCAAATTACATTAGGGCGGATCCAGGCCCCTGACTCGAAAATAAAGACAGATCCAATTATTTTGGTCGGATCCTGGATAAGTCCAGAAACATTCAAATGAGGACGAATGTAAGCTCAGTGTAAAAAAAATAAAATCGTGGAAATACCTAACCACAATATCCTGGTATACTTGTAGTGTACGCAATAACCTAGTATACCTGTACGCAACATTTTGCCATACATGTACGCAATATCCTTGTATACCTGTACGCAATATCCTGTTTTAACTATACACAATGACCTGGAATTCCTGTACGCATTATTCTGATTTACCTGTATGCAATGTCTGTGACTGCGAATACATGAGGGGGAACCTCATGTCTCTTTTTCCCCTTGTAGATCTCGATAATTTTCTCACTGTAGATCGGTAGACGTTTATAGGGGTTCACAACAACACAGAACAAACCGGAATACGTCTAGACAAAAAATAATCATGATAAAATTTTGCCTGAAAAATAAAATAGCGACGGTTGAAAATAATTTAATTTCGTAAGGCTAAATTCTATAATATGCAAACTTAAAAATTCTACTTAAACGGTTTCATTTTTTACACCCCCCACCCCCTTTCGGAAACAGTTTAATTTCCATGATTTCAGGAATTTATTTTAAGGTTTATTCGCTGAATTGGGAGAAATTGGAAAATAATAAATTTCAGCGTACGAAGTATAAAATCTAACAGAAATAAAAACTTGCCTTCTCATATAAAATACTCAATTCTTCCTATCAAAACTCATAACTACCCCCCTTACCTCCCGGAAAGGGGGATAATTTTTGAAAATTTATATCCCGGACACACAATTTTGAAATTCATCAAGTTTTGAGATTTAGTTTAAAACATAAATTCAAGACAATTTTTAATTAGAAGCCTTAAATACAAATAAGTTTTTTGCTACGTGGGGAGGGGGCCTCAATATAACGGGTCTTCAATTAACTGAGTAGAAAAGGAAAAAATAAAGATACCGGCTAACGAAAAATACTCACATAAATAAGGCCGGAATAATATCTCTCTTTAATATTATGCAGGACGCTGGCTTCGTTCAAGCAAGTCAAATTCGCCATATCTTCCTGTTTATCATACTTAGGGGGGTTCATCTTCTGCATATCATCTTTAGAGACTAGTTTTTTCTTACAGGTCTCAACTATCTCAACCTCCACCTCCTCCCCTTGGGTCCTCTTCATGGAGGCCGCGATAAACCCGTAGGTCTCATCGGGGACCCATACTAGCCGTTTTTGAGCCCATTCGGCCTGGGTGGCGGGGTCACTAAAAGCATTTCTATCCACGACCAAGAACTTAAGTTCCGGATCGGATCTATCAACTTCGGTCATTATAAACTAGTCCGATCACTTCAGGAGTCAAATAAATATATAATTTTATTATAAATAACTAAGGTTAAAGGTACACATGAAGTGTGGTTGGGCCGAATCTAGGCAGTGTGGTATGTCCACATGTCTAGTAGAAGGGCCGAGTTTGACTGTAAGGATTGTAGTGTATACCTGCTTCAGTCTGACTCACTCTAAAGTCTAAACTAACTTTCACCCTGCCGCGCCAATTCAGAGACAAATACATCCCGAGCACAAATACAACTTAAACTTTAAAATTAACGTTAGGAAACACCCAAAAATTAATAAAACCCGAAAATAATTTAAAAACCTGAGACACTGAAAGAATTAAGACTAAAGAAATAAAAAAATCTCATTTCAAAACTGAAAATAAGTATGCAAAAGTAAAATTCTAGCATGCATATTCGATATTCTATTTCTATGCGGAAATTCAACAGGTTTAAATTTTGCAGGGTGTGTCCACAAGTCCATAGCAGCTATAAAACCACGTGCTAGTAGGTCGGATGTGTAGTATAGCGGATTTGGCGTAGGTCAGAAGTGGAGTATGGCGGATAAGTGTAGGTCGAATTAAATACACCACCGTTATAACATCGTCTATACGCAATTCATCATAATAAAATTGAAATTTTCAATTGTTATTTTACATGAAGAAGAAATTAATGAAGGTTATAATGTTACATCATATGTTACTTCGTCGCGCAACATCCCCCCTACATGAACTTCTGACCTACTAACTTTCCGACCTACTGCAATATCGGACCTACGCCAGTTGCTTATTTTTGTATATTTGAGGGTTAGGTTAGGTTAAGACAATTTCTGGGCCGAGTAATGCGGCTAGGACAGGTTAGGGCCGGCCAAGCGCCGCGGCTAGGACAAGATGGGGGGCCGGGCGCTGCGGCCATAAGTCCATATAGCAGCTGTAAAACCACGTGCTAGTAGGTCGGATGTGTTATAGTAGGCCCCCCCTTGTATGTAAATAATTCCTAAAAATATGCATTATTTACCCAAGTAATAATTTTGGGGAAAATCCGCGGAAATTCCCAGGAATCTTTCCTGGGAATCCGCGGAAATTCCCAGGAATCTTTCACAGGAAAATCCGGTGAAAATGTCGACAGCTATTCCGAGGAATTTCTCGTAACTCATTCCGAGGAACCAGGTCTGAGGAATTTCTTGTAACCCATTCC